TCCTGAATGTTCTTCCAGAGTCCAGATCTCATCACAGCCGGATCCACAGACGCCTTCTGGAGCTTTGATTCATGTGCCACGTTACTTGGGCAACCTGCCCTTCAGAGTCTGGAAGAAGATGCAGGACATCGTCCAAAACAGTGAGTCTGGAGAAGATCTGTGCTCTGAAACATACACTGGAAATGATGCATGGGGGAAGACTGACAGATTTTATCATTATATGCATTATATGAATTTACCTGTTGATTGTGTCTCGTCAGCTCCTGTGATTCTGGATCCAAACACGGCTCATCCACGTCTCCTCTTGTCTGATGATCTGACCAGTGTGAAATACAGTGGGGACAAACTGATTCTCAATAATCCAGAGAGATTTGACAAGTCATACTGTGTTTCAAGAGAAACTTCAACATAGTGAAAAAATGAAAGATGAGTTTGAGGAAACAATTCAACACATTAAGGTGAGGAAACAGAATCAAGAGTCATTTTCATTACAGCTGTAGGATCACTAGACACAATCGTATTTTATTATAGTTAATGTAATGGATTTCAGTTTATCATATTTGTAAATGACAAGCAGTAATCTGCTTCTGGATGTGTTATGTGTCGGGTATCTGAGTTTATCTCAGATATTAATGATGTGCAGTGTTGTGTTGATTGAGATAATTGAAGTGAAAGTGATTTGATTTCAGTCTCAAGCTGAGCACACAGAGCGCCATATTAAACAGCAGTTTGAGAAACTTCATCAGTTTCTCAGAGATGAAGAAGAAGCTACAATCACTGCACTGAGGGAGGAAGAGGAGCAGAAGAAGCAGATTATGAAGCTGAAGCTGGAGGAGATCAACAGACACATCTCAGCTCTTTCACACACAATCAAAGACACGGAGGAGATGATGAAAGCCAGTGACGTCTGCTTTCTGAAGGTCTGATTTCAGATCATCCATTGATTGATTGATGGTTGATTGAGTTCTTGATGATCAATGGTGTGTTTGTTCTGCAGGAGTTTCCAGTCACGATGGAAAGGTGAGTGATCTGCTGCTGTCTCTGCTCTCTCTGCTTCTGATCCAAAGCCACTGCAGTTCTGATCCTGAATGTTCTTCCAGAGTCCAGATCTCATCACAGCCGGATCCACAGACGCCTTCTGGAGCTTTGATTCATGTGCCGCGTTACTTGGGCAACCTGCCCTTCAGAGTCTGGAAGAAGATGCAGGACATCGTCCAGAACAGTGAGTCTGGAGAAGATCTGTGCTGTTACACACACACTGGAAATGACGCATGAGGGAATATTGACAGATTTCAGCATTATGTGTGAATAACCAGATGAGCTACTACACCAAAATGAGCCGAAAACAAGAGAAGAACAACTTTGGTCCACATGATATTTACAGTTACAGTGATACAGCAGATCTCAGTTCAGTTTGATTGATTGGCAAATCTAAAATATTTACTGTAACAAACACTGACAGTGATCAGAGGAAAATGTCTGATGTGTTTGATCAATAGGACGAGTGTCATAATTCATAATAATCTGTGTGCGGTTCACTCTTGATCATTATATGAACATCAGAATAAAAGCAGCTGTTGATTGTGTCTCATCAGCTCCTGTGATTCTGGATCCAAACACTGCAGATCCACGTCTCGT